TAGAGCATGCCAATCTTGCACTTTCCTGGGGTGGAAAGGCTGCAGTGGGGTTAAGGATAAGGCTCCTTGGGCCTACCTTCTCCCATGCCTCTACATTTACCATTCCGGCACCCTTCCTTCCTCAGAAAAGCATGGACATATTTCTTGTATAAAATGTTCCGACTGGGAGTAACCTTAACTCCTCTGCTAGCAAGCATATGTGTTAAAAGATCAATACTGAGTCTTTTTTCTTTAGACTCAGTATGACCCATCCTGTCAATCTAAGTTCTGTACTAACTACCCGCTTACCCTACTTATCCTCTATGGGGGAGCGGGGGGGGGGGGTCTGAAGCACCCTACGGCGCAGTCCTATCCGTCCCAAGTACGGGGGGACTTACCTAAGGGTCCCTGTTCGGGCGCCAGATGCCGGGGTCCAACCCCAGCAGGTCCAGGGGTTCCCAAAGGTGTAGACGGAGTCGGCGAAGAAGGAATGACACGGAGACAGTGTTCAGTTGATCAGCAGCCTAGCCAGGATCTCCAGCCAAGTTCTGGTCTGGAGAGATTTTTCCCCTGAAGAACCCAGCTACAGAACCTGGCGACCGAACCTGGCTGGAGAACCTAGCGAGAGAATATGGCTACAGAACCTGGCTGGAGAACCTGGAGAACGTGGCTGGAGAACCTAGCAAGAGAACATGGACACAGAACTTGGTTGGAGATTGTGGCTAGAGATCCTGGCAAGGCTGCTGATCAACTGAACACTGTCTCCGTGTCATTCCTTCTTCGCCGACTCCGTCCACACCTTTGGGGACCCCTGGACCCGCTGGGGCTGGACCCCAGCACCTGCTGAGTCCAGGAATTCTGCTTACTGCCAGTTCTCCACAAAACTAAGCTTTGTTAAAAGAATCGTGAAGGTTCTTACTCCATGAGAAAAAATTGCCCTATGTAGAAGCAGCAATGTTTTCACCCAAGTGTTAAGATTTATGTGCATAGTTTGCAAAAGAATTTAATTCTAAGTTTTCTCTTATCACCCATTCTCATTTTCAGTTTTGTGTATTGACACATTCCTTCCCTTCTTTCCCGCTCAGTTTTACTACTAATAATGAACAGAAGCAAAGCTTCTTCAAGAAAAGCCTTAGTCTAAAAGTTTGATCATGAACTTGCTCCTGCCCTACCCCACCCCAACTACATGAAGAGCTTGTGTGCTCCACACAGAGGTACAAAAGATGTGGAATACTTTTTTAAACTGCTGCCTCATATCAGGCTGCAATGTGATAAGAACATAAGTCTAAAGTACAAAGGTTATATTTAACCAGTGCTCTCCTGCTGTTTCAACAAGCACATTCTAAAATCCACTTCTTGTCCACTTGAGAAAGCAAGTCCCATGAAGGCCCAGAATTCACTCAAGGGAGAAAATCAATAGTAGGTCTAGCTGTTTTAACTCATAACACCATAGTACAGGGGACAGGGACCCGGCGGGGGGAGAGATGAAAACTCCACTTGTTTTCCCAATACCCCTGATACGGAACCACTGGCTAAACTCATGAACTTTCTTCTCCCACCACAAAAATAAGAGTAGACAAAGTGCTGCTTTCTTAGCTTAAGAAGAGGATTAATATTTACTGCTCTCCCTCCCAGCTGGTTATATCTTAGTGTCCTCTGGAGCTTAAAAACAAAGAAACCTGGGGGGGAAATGGACACATATGTAATACCCTTTGTAATAAAAAATTTAAAAAAGAACAAACAAAAAACAAAGAAACCTGGCCATCGTCCCTAACCCCCCTACTACCAAAATAGAAGTTTTTTTAGAAGTGAGTCTTTTTTTGAAGATTCATATGGATTGTGTTGAGAAGTCATTACTCCTCAGTAAGCACTTTGCCAAGCATTTACCATACATTATTTCCTGTTTCATGACTGAATTCAGAAAGGTTCAGTCACAAACTATGTAGTGAACAGAAGAGTTCACCATGAGTCGTTTCTAAAATCCTGCCCGACCAGTGAGCTGACCCATAGATGCCATCCATTCCCATTTTTCACCTTGCTGCCTTCCCACTAGACCCCTGATTTTTCCAAATTAAATTATAGGTGAATCCTCCATTATCCAAGTCCAGAACAACACAAACATGTGTACAGAACCTCACTGTAGCCCAAGAAGATATTTATTTTCCCACTTTTCCCCCCACAAATTCCTTGTTAACAATGTAAAAATCCATTTTTGTAATTTAAACAAAAGAAACACACCTCAAAATTCTTTCCTAGGATGAATTTGAGGGCATACGGATAATACAAAGTCAATGCACAAGTGACAAAAAAATGCAAAATTAACTGAAAGTTATTCTTCCTGAAATTTCTCTTAAACAGCAGAGAAGTAGAATCAATGCTGCCACCTAGTGGCAAGCCAAACAAATTAGGTAGCATCCGGGGCAAAAAGGATCATAGGGCCCAACACCTGGTTCCCTGCCTAATATCAGGCTATTACCTACCTTCCTGAAAAGAAAAGAAAAAAAATCACAGCAACATTTCCCAAGCAATCCCTCCTTCAGAGTCCCAGTCCAATCATGGGAATACAGAAACCCAAGCATGGCCTGTGACACAGGCAATTTCACATGAAACTTTCCTCTGATCATTTTTGAAGTCAGTTTGCCCAGTCCTATGGCCCAGTAGGACTGACACAGGAAAACATGGTCACATCCAAAATGCTCATCTGTTCAGAGGGTGTACACAGTAATTCTGATGTCTGTTGCCTCAAACACCTCCTCAATTATTGTGGATACATTTTCCCATTGCAGACCATCAAGACCACATCCAATCCTGAAAAAGATAAAACATGTCCATTGGTTGCCATGAAGGTGTCTAGGAAATCAATCCTGCTCTCTTCCTTTAGGCTGCATTCCCCCAGAGCATGAGAACCAATGATCTGATCTCACACTATAGGCAGCCATTGTTGAAGCTTGGCATTCCTTTTGTGAGTCACCCAAGGCTGTTCCTGACAGCACCAACATCCCGCAGCTGCCACTTCTCTTTTACCTACTTGTTGCCACTTCCCCATCGTCAAAGCAACATTGAGCAATGTGTAACTGCTGTGACACGGGACACACACGATCCTTCTATGTCTGCTGATGAAAACTAGCTGTGGGAGGATGGGGGAAGACTGGCATTTCAAAAATACTTATTATCAAGGAAAGTTAAGCAAGATAAAAGAAAAAGAGGACAAAGGACAGGATCTCTGCAAAGAAAGAAGATGGAGTGCTGAGAAATGTCAAGCTGACTGCAATTCAGTTCTTTGCAACACCCTGGTGAAAACCCTTTATTCACCCACAAACTCTATTACCTAGCACCTTTCTTCTAAGATGTTGCTTTATTGATCCTCAACATCTCTGGGGGGAAATAGAAAGGCTTTAAAATGTTAATCTCGTGTAATGTGATGATTAAGTCCCTGAAAAAATATTGTGATTTTAAAAAGTTTATGATACATAATCCTTAAGTATATTAAAGACCGGTGTAAGATGAGGGACCCTGTAGTCACTTAAGTAACTTAGAGCTTGAAATAAACCCACATGCATGGTCAGCACTGACTCAAAACTAGACTGACAGAAAGAGAGGTGAGCCCAAGCCTATTTCCTGAAAAGGATACAAAGGGCCTACTGAAAAACCCCAATATCATTCCTTAAGTTCCCAATAGGAAGGGTCTAAGACAGTGATGGCGAACCTTTTGAGCTCGGCGTGTCAGCATTTTGAAAAACCCTAACTTAACTCTGGTGCCGTGTCACATATAGAAATTTTTTGATATTTGCAACCACAGTAAAACAAAGACTTATATTTTTGATATTTATTTTATATATTTAAATGCCATTTAACAAAGAAAAATCAACCAAAAAAATGAGTTCACGTGTCACCTCTGACATGCGTGTCATAGGTCTGCCATCACTGGTCTAAGACATTACCTCAGGGATATGTCCTCTGGCTATTGCCCAAGGTGACCATCAACAAGCAGGCAGTTTAAAAGGCAGAGATCCTTTACAGCTTTTTTTGCGCAGGATTAACAGGTTTGGGACACCTGCAGTGGCCCAGAGGGAAATCACAATTGCTCTGTCTTGGTTCTTATGCTTACATTGCTTCAGGAATCAAAGCTAAGATTCAGGCAGAGGACACAGAAATTTAACAAATGTGACTGAACAATGGTTCCTCCCTACTACATAGGTTGAGGCAGGTGTGGGTTTTAATTATCCTGAGTCACTCAGCCCAAGCTAAGAAACGGGTATGCTTTGGTCTAAGGACTGACAACTGGTTCTTTGGTGATATTTTTAAAGTTTTGAAATTTGCCCACCTTTAAGTCTGTATTTTGGATTAAGCTTGTAAGTCATTTGTCTAAACCCCACCAATCAGGTCTTCACTTAGGGCCCTGGATTTCCTTGCCTGGGCATGGAGAGGTCTGTGACTCCATTCTTCAGACAATGGGACTTCATGGCCTCTAAACTCTTCTGTAAGTTTTCATAAGTTGGCTTGTGTGAAGCCCTTTTCTTTGTAATCTAGTAAAGAAAGAATTCAAACTTCTATTAGTCCAAAATGATAGCCAAAATAAAGCCATCACATCTCCCAACATCCTGATAATTAAAACAAAAGTGTATTTTTATAGAACAGTCTAAAGCAGGGATGACAAATGTCATACTGTCCCTTCCAGTTATGGGAAGCCTTCAGGAAAATCAACTAAATAGGGCCTGAGAAATCCAGACACTGCCAGGTAATAATCATTCCTTCTCTCAAGCCCAGGAGGTTAACAGGCTGTGCCTATTGTGTATTGTTTCTAAGCAAAATAGGTGAAAGTCTTTGTGCCACTTCCAAGAGATAAGCTGCATATCTGTAACAAGAGCCCATACCACTCAAAAGCGTTCTAAGTTTATTTACTTAGAAACTATGCTTGCTTGCCTTTTGTTTCTCCACAAAAGAACAGAGACAAGCTGGGAGTACTCCACATAATACTGAAGCCCGAGCAGCCTTACAGACAGCTTTCAAAGACATGACACCCTAGTGCGCGGTCCTCACCAAGCTCTTGGTGGGCTGGCTGGAAGTCACCCAGCACCATCACCCAGAAGCCACTCTTTCTGGGGCTGAGGACCATGTGGACGGGGGAAGACTCCCCACTGAGGCAGCAGGCAGGCAAGCAGCTGAGTGCATTTGATAGAGAAGGATGAAAAACTGCTTGGGCAATCTGTCTTAAGACATGATAGTTTCTCTATCTCACTATGAGGAGGAAGGGATTCAAGTACGAGAGGCATCGCTAACTTTTTCAGGTCTTAGAGCACAGGCCTTGGGAAGACAGCACAGTACTCCTTCCCATGGAGCTGGATGCTTCTCTTCTAACCCGGAGCTCCACAGCCTCCCCACTGGACCTGAGCTGGCATGAGATCAGACGCCTTTTGACATCTTTGGTTGTCTAGAATGGACTACCATGATCAACACAAATTCAGTGCAGCCTATCGGTTCACCAATCCTTAGAACATATTGAGAATAGGCCCCATCTTACCAAGTAATATATGTATCGCCCATCTCTCTTCAGAACAGCCACTTCTCCAGATTTCTTTTCTAAGAAAAAATCATTTAATAGTAGAAAGAAAAATGAAAATCAAAACACTGATCTCCATTCTTAGATTTTAAAAAAAAATCTTTAGAGTGGTTTACCTAAACCTATTGTCGCCTATGAACACTTTGCTCACAGCTTTGATAAATACTGTACTCCTTAGCATCCAGCTTTTTAATCGTGTTTTCTCAACCCTATTTTCCTCATACCCCATCTCCTGTCCTGCTCCTATTTTCAAGTACACCCTTACTATTCACTTAAAAACTTTGTCTACTGCCTAGAAATGTTTTAGAATATACAGCATTCTTCCTTTGCCAAATGCATGTTCATTTTTACATACAAAGAGCTAATGTTTAGCCCAGCCGGGTGTGGCTCAGCGGTTGAGCGTCGACCCAGGAACCGAGAGGTCACCAGTTCGATTCCCGGTCAGGGCATATGCCCGGGTTGCAGGCTCGATCCCCAGTGAGGCATGCAGGAGGCAGCCAATCGGTGATTCTCTCTCATCATTGATGTTTCTATCTCTCTCTCCCTCTCCCTTCCTCTCTGAAATCAATAAAAATATATTAAAAAAACAAACAAAAAAAACCCCAAAGAGCTAATGTTTAAGCATTATGGGGAACGTAAGTGTACAAAAAAGTTTCTAATTATAAGCTTTCCATCAAGAAAAAGTGTCATGTCCATATAATACAATACAAAGCAGCAAGAAATTGCTTTTTTAAAGGCTGGGATCAGAACCACTGGTGGAGAAAGTGGTTGAATAAGCCTGGACTGTGGTCTGAGCGACTGCTTCAGAAGCTCCACGTGGCTCTACTATACAGCTCTGGTTTTAAATCACTGGCGGGAAGTGACAGGAGAAGTATGTAAGCAAGAGGATTCTAACCTCCTAAGTGCAGTACGGGTAAACAGGGGCTCTTGAATGCCACCCTAGTAACTGTGGGTTTTGCTAAGCACTTCAGAAGAATTAAGGTTTCCAGAGAAGTGGAGTATTATCAATAGAGCTTTATGGTAGAGGAAGAAAAGAATAGAAACTTTTACAAGAACTTTGGGCGTAATAAGGACCCAAACTAGAGGCTATTTTTGTGGAGGAAAAAGTACTCAGTGGTCAGGAACCTCCTGTTTACATGTATATCTTGTTTAATGAGTAACAGGAGGTCAAAAGATGCTCCCGCCAGGGAATGAGAGTTCAACTGTTTTCCAAAACTCACGTTGATTTAACAGTTCCTGCACCCCTCCAAATTTCTTCTTGAAGAGGACAGCTATCCCAGCGCCCATCCGACAATCCTCACTGATACAGTGGGCTAGAGAGTCTGTTTTGGGGCATGCAAAAAGGTCTCCTTTCACATAGGTGATCTAAAATGTGCAAAGGGGGACAATGTTTTATTAGCTACAGAAAAATACTAGTTTTCCTCTCCAGTACCCACCACCCCTCCCCACCTTCTTGATCAAAAGCCAACTCCTTAGAATGTAAGCAGTTAACCGCGAGAATTAAAGCCTCTGTCAAAGGAAAGTGATGGCTGGTCTCTGTCTAGGTGGCATTAGCCTTTCTAACATAAATCAGCTGGGGTGGGGTGGGTAGAGAGACAATTCAATTATTGGTTTCATGAAAAAGTGTTTATGTTTGTGACCTCAATTATTCTGAATTTCAGTTCACCGTAAGTGAACGGTTATTACGCACTCTGCTTCCTTCTGCATCCTCATTGGGGCTGCTGGCCATGACGCCGAGTTGCTATCTCCAGGGTTTAAATGCTTCTCCAGCTATGAGGAGGGAAAAGTCAAGAAAAAAGGCTCAGGCAGCCTGAGTATATTACATTCAGATCGCCCTGACCACCCACTTCTTCCCCTTCTCCCAACTTCTACCCCTGCATGTGACATCCCTGCACGTGACCTCGTCCGGCCCCTAGGAAATCACACAAGGCGCCTGGGCCCAGGAGGGGGCAATGCCCAGCCGGGCCCGCTAGCATTTCGCGCCTTCCCGTGGCGCCCGCTCCGCCCTCCAAGAAAAGGCGGCCCCAGGACACGCCTCCGCCTCCCCGGCGCCCGGCGGGCCTAGGGCAGCCCCGAAACTCGGTGGGTTTGGCCTCGAAGAAAGAAGGAGGGACTTAGCGCCCCAACCCGGGAGCGTACGCGCAGGGGAGGGTACTGCCCGCGCAGGAAGGAGAGGGAAGGCGGCTTCCAGGCTCACTCCCCTCAGCTGGGGGAGGAGGGCGGAGCCTAGAGGAGCCTCCCACCCTCGTCTCCTACCCCACGGCCGGTCAGCGAGTGTGCACAGCCTGTCCCGGGGTCCCGTGGGGAGGAGCGAGGAGGCTCGCTCTCAGCCTCAACGTACCGGGGTTACCCTGCACCTGAAGTCGGCCGTTAGGAGGTCCCGCCCCGCGGGGAAGGGCTCCAGACCCGGCCCTGGGAGGTGGGGAACGGCCGATGACACCAGACGCGGAACCAATCCCGCCACGGCCCTTGAGAGTACGCACCTAAGATGGCCGCCCCACCACCCGGGAGCGACGCGGGAACGGGCCCCTCTAGCTAGCCCGACCAGCACTCTTTGGTGATGGCCGCCGAACTTCCGGCGGTGCATACCGTGCAGGCTCCCGCCGCCACCCGAGCATGCGTAACGAGACCGCCACCGCGAGCGGGAAGGAACGGCGCTTGCGCATTAGCCCAGGGTGTGCCTCCCGTGGCCGCAAAGAAAGGGGTGGGAAGTTCGCCAACGAGCTAGTTAGCGCCTGCGTAGTAATATGTTCAGGGCAGTGTCCTAGTCGAAGGGCCTGGCGCGCCTAGAAGACGCCGGCGTATTTTTTCCGTCGGGCGGGGTAGCTATTCCGGAAAGTGGGCGTGGCTTCGGGGACGCCTGCGCAGTGCTCCTTCGACGAGGGGTGGGGCGTGCCCCGAACAGGGTGTTAGGGGGCGTGGTTTCAGAAGCGCCTGCGCGGAGGCGGTTGGAGGGAGGCCCGATTCCCCTTTGTTCAGATTCGCCATTTTGCGAGGCAGCGGCAGTGGCGGCGGCAGCGGTGGCTGGAGCCTCTGATTGGGTTTCGGAGTCCGGTAGTGGAGCCAATCAGCGCGGGCAGCGAACCGGGGGAGCGAGGCACGGTGAGTATCAGGAGCCAATATCCAGCGGCCCAGAGCCGGCCCCAGCGCCCGGATTGGCGGGTCTCGCTGACCACTCAGGAAAGGCCCAGGCTCCCGTCG